TAGCATTTTCTTGCAAACCATACTCCTTTAATCTTAACTAAATATTAATAAAATATTACAGTGCAACCATATTGATTACACCAAAATACAGGTTAGTAGTTAAATTCACTACTGTAAAAAAAAAATAATAATAATAATAACAACAAGAAAATACTATTTCACCCATGACAAATATTGACCATAGTATCCATGGTAGAGAACACCAAAAATACCAGTTAGTACAGTTAAAATCACTTCTGTAATAAAAAAATAAAAAAAACAGAAACATTTTTTGTGTACACTCTAAAGATGATTTTTTTTAAAGTCGTAAATAAAACAAAGCTTATTTGGAGTATGTTTAACAAGAAAATAGTATTTCAGTTTTTCTACTTCAAAATTTCTCATTTAATTCAATGTGTTAATTGCCATTAAATCATAATTCATTGTGAACTATACCAACAATTTTTTTCCCACCGATTTTCGCTCAAAAATGCTAGTACATTTCATAAATAATTACAAAGAAATGAAAGTAAAACACTGAATAAACAATTTTGAGTAGAAATAGTATTTTTTTGTCAAACATACTTGAACAATGTTTGTTTTATTTACAACTTGGAAAAATCTTTTATTTTTAATTTACATTTTTACAGATATTTACTTGCCATTCAATGGCAAGGTTTTTGTAGTAGCGTATCTATTGTATTTTGGCATAAACTGTGGTTACCATGGTATTTTTTCACTAGTCAGAATGAAAAAGAAACCTGTTCAAGCAACAGTCTGTACAAACATACTCATTCAGGCCTGAGCCACAAAGGATTATATTTCTGAGGAGGTGATAAATTCAGCACACATTCAGTGTATTAGTGAGGGAGTGTTGGAGATACACCAAAAGCCTCAACAGAACGACAGGCGTGGCACTCGCAATTCACAACGGGCCGTCGTGACAGTGACTAAACACACATTTGTTTCTTTTTTGACATTTACATTTATTGAATGGTTGCACACAGTCAAGTCGAGTCTGCCACAGTGAAGGTATTAAGTACACCTAGCAGCTCTCGGCTTTAATGATCTTTCTGTTGACTTTAGGCCAGTGAAGCCACTCAACTGGTCACATATGAAAGGAGACCTGTGCAATTCAACACAGCTACCCAAGAATAGTGTATATTAATGGCCATAAAGAACGGTCTTCAATAGAAAAATAAAAAAATAACTGCACAAAACATCATGGTAAACACCATAAAGCCCACAAAATTAAAATTGGTTATACGCTTATACGCATTTAAAATTTACAGTCTAAAATGGACCAAAAAGATTGATGATTCATCCTGCACTACACAGATTTTTGTCCAATCATATGCTCTCTATTCATATATTCTTATACAGATGATATCTCTCTCTTTAGCTTTTTTCCAAGTGCACAAGTAAATGTGCAAACATATGTACACAAAAACTCTTTCACGTTCAGGCATCATTTATTTCTGGAGACCTCTAAAAATTTTGTAAATTCAGATTAGCGAGATGTAAACTCAGAATTGTGAGATGTAAATTCAGAATTGTGAGATGCAAATTCAGATTAGCGAGATGTAAACACAGAATTGTGAGATGTAAATTCAGATTAGCGAGATGTAAACAGAATTGTGAGATGTAAATTCAGATTAGCGAGATGTAAACACAATTGTGAGATGTAAATTCAGATTAGCGAGATGTAAACACAATTGTGAGATGTAAATTCAGATAAACGAGATGTAAACAGAATTGTGAGATGTAAATTCAGATTAGCGAGATGTAAACACAGAATTGTGAGATGTAAATTCAGATTAGCGAGATGTAAACACAGAATTGTGAGATGTAAATTCAGATTAGCGAGATGTAAACACAGAATTGTGAGATGTAAATTCAGATTAGCGAGATGTAAACACAGAATTGTGAGATGTAAATTCAGATTAGCGAGATGTAAACACAGAATTGTGAGATGTAAATTCAGATTAGCGAGATGTAAACACAGAATTGTGAGATGTAAATTCAGATAAACGAGATGTAAACACAGAATTGTGAGATGTAAATTCAGATTAGCGAGATGTAAACACAGAATTGTGAGATGTAAATTCAGATTAGCGAGATGTAAACAGAATTGAGAGATGTAAATTCAGAATTGTGAGATTTTATTTTTTAACCCACGTCAAAAAATAAATAAAAAAATTGAGATGTAAACTCAGAATTCAGAGAGAAAAAAGGCAGAATTGCGAGATGTAAACTCAGAATTGTGAGAATAAAAAGATCACAATTACCATTTAAATTTTTTATTCCGTGGCGAAAGCAAGCTTCCGTAAAAAAAAAAAAAAAAAAACAGATCAAATTCAAATCTTACAATGATTATTTTTCTTGTTAATCAATGAATGACACAAAAACGTTGGGCAGTTCAAACATTATTTTTTAGACACAAAACATATAATAGTTACATAAAAGCAAAACATTTGAAAATAAATTATATTAAAAGCAACATTGAGAATATAAAACACGACTGCACTGCACTTTGATAGAATATAAACACCCTGTAAACAACCTGAGAACATTTCACAAATGATAGATGTTGTTTGGTGACTATTCAAATAACTTTAAAGCACTGAACAAGATTTGTTGTGTACAACAGCAATTATTTAATAAAATTGATTTCCATTTCAAATTTGACATTATCCAATTCAATCTATACTATACAAAATATTTCACATTCAATACAACACCTAACATAAGCTATTACAAAGTACACAAGGACGTTTCCATCTAAACTGTGACAAACGATGACTCAAGGATGTGTGTCTCCACAGTGTGGTACAGTACAAACTAACCATTAATTCAGTGCATCTGTGGCCAGACTCATATGATTACTACTCTTTCCATGCAAACAGCCCAGACCACAAAAAACACATGCAGGCTGCCGGAGATAAAACTGTCTGCAGGTTTGCAAGGAGTTATAAAGCTCAGAAAGACTGATAAATGGCTGAAGGGTTGGTCTTGAATATATGCTCTGGGGAAGAGATGTACATATCTGGTTGAGTGCAAACAAATGTTGACAGACTAAGAATACGTTCAGCACATCGACGGCACATTCGAACGACACATATATTCCCCATTTGCCATTAAAATAACAACGTCGAGAGTAAAACAGGCCACCATTGCAGAAAGCTTCCCACACCCAACAAACAGACATGAAAAAAAGTTTTCTTGCGACAGCAGAGCCACTCCTCTGTTAGTCCTCCTGTCTTTTCAAGCATATCTTTGCGAAAGTGTACAGAGTGAAGTCAGGCACTTAATCAACACGTGCTGCCAAAACCGATACTGATATGCGATAAGGAAGTCTTTTGAAAGCCCGGAAGCATAATGCAGGTTACAGGAAAGTCAACAGCCTGAAGTCCTTGCATAGAAAACAACAATAAATTAAGCTAAATAAATAATGCTAGTCTGCTGTACCGAAACAAAAGATGCTATGCACTTACCGGGTAACTTCACCGCCAGGTCTCGCTTTAATATGGAGATGTATCCCTCAAAGCTTAGTTTTGCATTTCCAGTATTTCCTGTCTTTCAATTTGCTACATATGCAATCAAAATCCATTGAGCCTTCTATGAAATTATCAGTATTAAAGCTCTTCTTGTAGTGATTAGACGTTTGTCTAAACAAGACAGACTTTTCCGTGTACTATCATCTATCTGATAAAATCAATGTCAAACTTTTTCCAGACTAAATTTAAAAAACATTGTCCTCTAGTTTCTTTATCTTTTAGCGCAAGATAGAAATGCATGCTGCCGTCTGCTTTCAGAGTCAAGTGTAGAAGGACTGGGTGTGGAATGCTTGGCAAACAGACCTCACCACTTTAAGTATTTGGTGGTAAAAAGTTTGAAGAAGGGAAGAGACAGCCATTGATTTTAAGAACATAAAGGGAATAAACATGTCCTTAGTAACGGGCCAAAAAGGAATAGTAAACCCCAAAATGAAAATTCCAGTGTTAATCCAAACATTCCGAATATGATGTTGCGGAACACAAAAGATCAAACATATAAGAAATTTCAGATATGGAATATAGTGTGTGAATCATACAAATCAACTACTTTTTGTTGTTTCCGGTTTGGGTTCGAAACAGGTTTTGGAGCAACATGACTGAATAAATAGACATTTTTCATTTTCACATGAACTATTCCAATAACAGCACATACTACAGTTTAAAAGATTGGGTCAGAAAGATTTTTTGGGGGGAAATAAATGATTACATTTGTTCCGCAAGGATGCATTCAATTGATCAAAAGTAACTGTAAAGATATTTATAATGTTATAAAAGACTTATATTTTTAGAAATGCTGTTCTTTTGAACATTCTATTAATCAGAACCCTGAAAAAATGTATCATGGTAAAGAATTTTTTCTTATGCAGCAAATTAGCATATTAAAATGATTTCTGAAAGATTGTGTGACACTGAAGACTGGAGTAATGATGCTGAAAATTCAGCTTTGTATCACAGGAACACATTACATTTTAAAATATATTCAAATAGAAAACTGCTATTTTAAATTGCAATATTATTTCACAATTTTGCTGTTTTTACTGTATTTTTTCCATCTAATAAATGCATCCTTGGTGAGCAAAACAAAAATTCTAAACAAAATTCTTACATACCACAGACAAGACTGAACAATATTGCCACATTATTAGCGCTGTATCGTCACACTGACAACACTATAAAAGACTGGAGTTACGAAAGAACAATAATCCAGTGTTTCCTGAATTTTGTTTTAAACTGCCCCTTTGGCAAATCAAAGTGAATGGAATGGAATCAGGAAGTGGTAGAACGAGTCTTATCCTCTCTGACAACTATATCTTACAACACATGTGGGCTGTCTGAAGGTTTGCTGATTGATATAGTCATGTATCATGTTACTGAAACCACCCCCGCATCTTGTGAGGTCAGAATGTTAAGTGGTGAAGTCATTTGCATGTACAATCCAGAACAGTCATTGCCTAATGATTAGGTTTAAACATCTGAGGATGCAAAAAATGAGAAGAATGGGACAGGGGTGACATAGAGAGCAAAGATCTACAAGCTGACTGACAGCTTTTAAAGCTTAATTTTTGATTCCCACCTCTGCACCTCTGCAAAACAGTTTAGATTATTATAGTCCAAACACACACACACACACACACACACACACACACACACACTACAAACACAAATGAAAACCACATTCTGTATATAAACATACATTTAGGGCCTAAAACTAACAGTCTGCTACAACTGCCAATGGTTTAGCACATGACTTGAGAAGATTAACCTGCCATCAATATGTTTTACCAGCCATGTAACTGTATGTGCATTATTTCATTAAAAAATAGTTAGAAAACATATCTAATTGCAGTTTTTATTTTTTATTATTAATAATAGAATTAAATCAATAAAAATATCACTTTATTATTATTATTTTACATAACTGTACAATGTGGCTTCTATTATATGTGACCCTGGAGCACAAAAGCAGTCTTAAGTCGCTGGGGTATATTTGTAGCAATAGCCAAAAATACATTGTATGGGTCAAAATTATTGATTTTTCTTTTATGCCAAAAATCATTAGGACATTAAGTAAAGATCATGTTCCATGAAGATATTTTGTAAATTTCCTACCGTAAACATAATTTTTGATTAGTAATATGCATTGCTAAAGACTTCATCTGGACAACTTTAAAGGCGATTTTCTCAATATTTCGATTTTTTTGCACCCTCAGATTCCAGATTTTCAAATAGTTATTTCTCTGCCAAATATTGTTATATCCCAACAAAACCATACATCAATGGAAAGCTTATTTATTCAGCTTTCAGATGATCGATACATCTCAATTTTGAAAAATTGATGACTGGTGATTTATGACTGGTTTTGTGGTCCAGGGTCACATATAATGTAAAGTAGCTAATATGAATGGCTGATGAGTTTTTCATTTGGCCAGAAAGCAGAATGTTTGATCACTGATTTAATGCCCTTGTTATTTTATTTAGTAGCAAATGAAAACATTTTTTGAAATTAAATGAACATTTTACTTAATATTCACTCTAAATAAAATGGTTCATTTTGGCATTGAAATAATCATGCATTAATTTTGCATGAATCTGTTAATCTGGCACATTATAAGCTAATATTGTCAAAATGGACAATTAATCGGTTTGGCTGACAATATAGCGCTCTAACTCTAGATATGAATTACCTCCCAAAATTGGCATTAATCAGTAGACACACTTAGCGGCTTATGCCAATAATGTAAAAATCCCTAAACACTGGAAAATATTACTTATATAATATTAGAATAATATTACATTAACAATTTATAATATCATATAATCAAATTATTATAATATAATGTAAATTAACGTGAAACATAAATATGAACTTATTATTTAATAAATCAGTCTTGCCAATATATCAGTATTTAATTTGACAGTATTTGAATTACAACTCAAAATTGGCATTAATCGGCATAATGGCCTAAACCGATAATCTTAAAATGCCAAGATGTGGATTTTAGATTTTGTGAGCTGAGAATGGGAATTAATCTACCTGTGACTGAAAGTTTGTGAGTCGCTGAGTTCATCATTCCCGTGTTGGGGTTGAATGCCTCGCAGATGTACAGGCCACTGTCCGTGACCATGGCCTTCTCAATTGTAATGACTGCATGGCTAAAGTTCATCGCTGTACCATTGAGTTTCCATGAGTATGTACTCGGAGGAACAGACTCTGCAGAGCAGGTTAATTTGACAAGTTCTTCAAACTTCACCTCTCTCTTCCCATCAACCTTCACGTTCACTGGACCATCTGTGGGACATCAGAGAGATTGGCTCAGTTAAGGAGGTCACATTTACATCAGAGTAATGCAAACAAACAGTCGGTAGCAACACAAGCAGAAAGGAAACCACCACCATTTTGCAAACATGATAGGCTAATGTTTAGACAAGACAACAAAAGAGAAGTGATACAGGAATCAACCATGTCCTAAGCAGCCACCACACATGTCTCTGTCCTCCAAAGTGGAACGCTGCCCAAAGTGATGAAATCTCAGCCAATCAGAATGCTTAATTTTCAGCAATGAATATATAACAGGTGGATTTATGATCAATGAGATTTCAGTGATACAATGGGAAAAAAAATAGATATTATATTAATTAATCGTGAATCTTGTAATCGTGTAATAATAAATATCTAAAATTAAAATAAATTATTCATTTAATTTAAAATGTATAATACATATAATACATTTTTAATAAATAAAAAATGTATTCATAAAATTAAATATATATTAATTACAATATATAAATAATGTATACAATAAAATATATAAATGTAAACCTTTTAAAAATCACGTCTGGTTGAGTCACAGTGAAGGTTAGCAATTATTATGTAAAGCCCCTATGTTAATTGTTGCATTCAATTCAACACAACAATTCATGTATGAATAGATTTACTGTATGAACGTACACATAAACAGTATTACAATGAAACTATCCTCTCTTGGATACTTACAGTTGATCACCATCTTATAGGTGCTTTCGTCTTTGTTGACTTTGTTCTTCAGCTGGCACTTGTAGTCGCCCGCATCCTCTCTAACAACTTTAACGATGGTCAGAGTTTTCATGTCGGCTGAGAGAATGACATGGTCACCAAGAGTCAGAGGTTTGCTGTCCTTCAGCCATTCCATGCTTTCGGCTTTTCCAGTGGCTGCCGAGCAGGTGATGTTGACCGTGCTGTTGCCAGCGATGAGAAGTGATGAGGAGCTGGAGATATTTGTTCCAGATAAGGCCTCTAGCAGAACAATATAGATGAGAAGACAAAAGAATAAGTGATGCTTTCAGATTATGGACCCTCAACGACAGACATAATGTTTGTTATCAGGAGAGAATAAAGTTTGAAAAGTTCTTTCGCTCTCCAAAGCGGCATTTATTTAATTAAAAATGCATTATAAATAGTAATATTGTGAAATAATATTAAAATTTAAAACAACAGTTTGCTCTTTGAATATATTTTAAAATTTAATTTATTCCTGTGATGCAAAGCTGAATTTTCAGCATCATTACTCCAGTCTTCAGCGTCACATGATCCTTCAGAAATCATTATAATATGCCGCTCAAGAAACATTTCTGATTATTATCAATGTCGAAAACAGTTGTGCTGCTTCATATTTTGGTGAAAACCTTTTTTATGTTTTGATCTGTCGATGAATAGAAAGTTCAAAAGAACAGCATTTTTTTTAAACAATCTTTTTTTGTCACCTTTGATACATTTCATGCTGAATAAAAGTATCAACTTCTTTCAAAAAAGAAAAAAACAATAATACTGACCACAAACTTTTGACTGGTAATGTAAACAGCACATAAAACAGATTAAACTCAGATTGGTAACTTTCTGTCTAAGTGGGTGATTCTTGCCTAGAAAAAGATGCAAAGACAATCCTGGCCGGGATTTCTAAATTACCTTTGTTTTCCCATTCTTTTCATACCTGCTAAAGTTAATGGCTGACAAGTAGTTTGACTAATAGCGGGGCGTATGAGAAGGCGGGATCAACAGAGAACGGTTAAAGCAATGCAAATACTTGTACACACAATATAGGAGGACTGTAGAGAGCACATCAATTAGAAAACAAAGCCAAACCCGCAAAAGAACAGCATTTTTTTTAAACAATCTTTTTTTGTCACCTTTGATACATTTCATGCTGAATAAAAGTATCAACTTCTTTCAAAAAAGAAAAAAACAATAATACTGACCACAAACTTTTGACTGGTAATGTAAACAGCACATAAAACAGATTAAACTCAGATTGGTAACTTTCTGTCTAAGTGGGTGATTCTTGCCTAGAAAAAGATGCAAAGACAATCCTGGCCGGGATTTCTAAATTACCTTTGTTTTCCCATTCTTTTCATACCTGCTAAAGTTAATGGCTGACAAGTAGTTTGACTAATAGCGGGGCGTATGAGAAGGCGGGATCTACAGAGAACGGTTAAAGCAATGCAAATACTTGTACACACAATATAGGAGGACTGTAGAGAGCACATCAATTAGAAAACAAAGCCAAACCCAGACATTTTAGGCAATTTAGACATCCGGCCAGGACATGCCTAGGAATAACAGGACATATGGTCACCCTATGAGATAACTCTCAGCAGCTTTACCATTGCCTTTTTTTTCTGGCACTATTTTCTTGTTTGTTCAGACATCATTACTGTGGAATGTACCAGTCTGATTCAGACACATTGCATTGACCAAATACCTGCAACTCTACCGTTCAGCACACATTGTCTTCCTCCTCACTGCCTGTGTTTTTAGTTTCGGGTAAGACGCATACAAACAGCTGCAAATTAACTCTCTTAATTCATCTAGAAAAACTTTCGAGACATGCATTTGTAACCCAAGAGAGTTATTCATGTTAGATCTCATGAAATCTGTTTTGCATGAACGGTTTGCATTAAAATTTTATACAAAATCACTGACACAAAAACGCATTACGGTTACAACTTTAAGATGAACCCTGCCCTGACAGATCACTCCAGTATTCTGCAAGTGAAACCTTAGTCAAGCGGTACCTGCCCAAAATGTATGTGACGTCAGACAGTTTGTATTCTGCTTTCTTTAGAGTGTGGGTTTCACACACGTGGAAACACCTCAGGGGAAGACACAGTTCTTTACAAAAGCCACAGAGCCTGAGACCACAGGTTCAGAAGCCGTGTAAAATCAATCTGCCCTCAATCAAAGAAAGCAGAACATTCCTGAAACTTCCACCCACTAATGTGAGCCGAGGCAGACCTCAGAGTAAAGCAGACGAACAGGTTCATCTTTTAAAAGCACTTGTAAGCCAGGAAGCCATTTTGAATAATGACAAATAGACAGACAAAAAGCCATTGCTTGGTGATATTAAAAAGTATAGTTCACCCACAAATGAAAATTCTGTCAATGTCATTCCAACCTTGTATGACTTCCTTTTTTTCAGTGTAACATCACAAATTTTTTTTTTTTTTACATGCAATTACAATTAATGGGGGTCTGAAGCTTTCAAGCTTTTCAAATGATGAAAATGCATCTTGATCTTGATTGATTAATAAATTGAAAATGACTATTGAACATATTAAGAAGAGCTGAGGAAGATGTCAAGATTTTTTGTGAGTCTCAGCTTAAATTTCTGTCTGTTCCTCATTTAAAGTTATCGTAGGATTTCGGAAGATTTAGAATATAGTGCATGATGAGTCTTATTTTTTATGCTGTCTTTGTGTCCTTTTTGAAGTTTCAAAGTTCCCACTCATTGTAATTGCATTGGAGAAGTGCAACCAGCAGCAATTCAACTTTTGTGTTCCAGGGAAGTAAGTCATGCGGGACTGGAATGACACGAGTACTTATTGAATAAGAATTACCATTTCTAAGTAAACTAACCATTCGTCACTTAACAGAGATCTCAAATCTCATTTCAGTTTAGTTTCCAATGTCCTTTGAAGGCAAATATACCTGTTCCTCTTCCAGAGTACTTTTTTTTAAAATCCTTATCTCACTTCTTGGCAATGGAGCCACCGTGGTAAAGCATGTGTATCTCTGTTCTGCCCCACTGCTAATCAAAAGATTTCAATGGATGTATTTGCTAACTTACACTCTTAAAAACAATGGTGGTTCTACGCAGCCTCTTAACAAGAACTATTTTTCACTAGATTGTAAATTCAACTACAAATTATGTAAAAGGACATAATGTACTGTTTTTGTAACTGAACCTCCCGATGTGTCTCATAGCCACTTGGTTGGCCACAAATTAGCGAACTAGCAATGAGAGTTAGTAAGGCTACGGTCACACTGTCAGTTTTTGGGATTGACAACCGCATTTTCTTTACAGGTGTGAGTCTCAAAATGTCCCGTTCACACAGCAGCTTACAGTTGTGTTTAGAATACTGTCTGTATGAACGTGCAATGGGAGTCAAGCCCGTATTCCTTACTAGTAACCATAGCGACAGTGACCAAAGTAAAATCAAAGATGGCGACGTCCATAAAACTGAAAGTCGCATCACTTTCTGACACGACAAGAGTCCAATCGATCCTCGAGTTCTTTCGTCAAATCTTCATTAACCAACAGCAGCTTTTAAATTTTATTTCTTGTATAACAGTGTGAATTTGCTGTCCCCTCAAAATAACTCAACACACAGCCATTAATGTCTAAACTGCTGGCCACAAAAGTGAGTACACTCCTAAGTGAAAATGTCCAAATTGGGCCCAAAGTGTCAATATTTTGTGTGGCCACCACAGCACTGCCTTAACCCTCTTGGGCATGGAGTTCACCAGAGCTTCACAGGTTGCCACTGGAGTCCTCTTCCACTCCTCCATGACGACATCACAGAGCTGGTGGATGTTAGAGACCTTGCGCTCCTCCACCTTCCGTTTGAGGATGCCCCACAGATGCTCAATAGGGTTTAGGTCTGGAGACATGCTTGGCCAATCCATCACCTTTACCCTCAGCTTCTTTAGCAAGGCAGTGGTCGTCATCATGTTGGAATACTGCCCTGCGGCCCAGTCTCC